TCTGGATGCCCTGTTTCACCTGACCAAAAGATTTTGTTGCACTTATTTTAAACAGATGGTGAATCCACCCAATTAAGAACGTGGAGTTTCAGTAACTGTCACATTTTCAATAGTTTTTGCTTGAGGAATGGCTAATACTTGCCTAGTGAAAAAATTAAGTAATCTTTTTAGCTCTGCATCACAACGTGAGGAACTAAAAAATATCCTTTTTTGGAATTCTCTTTGCAGCTTTTCCGCCATGGCCCCCCTTCTGCTAAAGCATCTGGCTACCTCCTTAGCTAGGCAAGTGGCCCAGATGAGCCACTGGCGTCTGACCTTGTCCTCACCGGCAGCCTTTGTTCACAGATCTCTCTTTATGCTCACCGGCGGTTCTCGTGCATTTCTCCCATCATCGGCCAGCATCAGCTCCATCCAGCGCCCTTCTTCTGGCTTCCCGGCTCGTCGTGAAACCTCTCTGTTGGGACAGTGTTGGCATGTTCCCTGCGTTCAGCCCTCTGCAGGAATGAAAACCAAAACTGCCCTGAAGAGGCGCTGCAAGGACTGCTTCTTTGTTATAAGGAGGGGACGTTTGTTTGTGTTCTGCAAGACAAATCCAAGACACAAGCAGAGGCAGGGCTGAAGTGTTGTACGAGCGTGGGGGTGACTGCACCCAAGGCGTGGATATTTACGAAAACTGTGCTGAAGTAATAAATTGTTTGGGTGAAAAATACGTTGAAGTCTTCTCACCTCTCTACAGTTCCTCTCCTAACAACAAAAAAGACAAATTTTTTACGCATACTGAGCAAAACTCGTGAGCCGCCCTGTGTTTCTGCATGTTTTGATTCTAAAGCCAGGTGGGTTTTTTGGGGGGGTTGTTTTTTTTTTGTTTGGGGTTTTTTTTGTCATTTACAAAGAAAATGTGATCTTGAGCGATCGTTATCAGACTTTCTGAAGGTCTTTCAAAAGTTTTTCTTTAGACAGTGGCCTTGTTTTTCACTTATTTTCAGTCCAGTTCTTGTACCTGACCATTTTCAGGTGAATTATTATTTTATTTGTTTAAACACTTAACACCGACCTATCAATCATTCAACCATTAAAAATGCACAAGTGTTGCTTCTATAGCAGACAACTTAGCAAATAAACTGTAAACTGTGTCTTTAGGCACTTTGTTACTAGCAGCCTGTCTCAAAAGACATAATTACTTCTCACTTCTTTAGGGTAAGTGACTCAACTAAAGAAATGAGAAGTAATTATGTCTCAACTTGACTCAACTCATCTTGAGTCTATTAAAAAATGCCAACGATAACAAAGTTTTACAGGAGCAGAAAAGTATTTTTGCATCAACAAGGTCTGAAGCAGCGTGGGATCATCCTGATGGATGAACAGAACGAAACGTAGCCAACATCCAGAGCTTTAAATGTCCTTCAAGAACCCTGGAGAAATATTCCTAATGACTAAATAAAGGCATGACAAGAAAGCTGACCTAAAAGAGTTCAGGCTGTGTTGAAGAATAAACGTGGTCATGCCAAGTATTGATTTTAAAGCTTGTGAGAATTGAACAATGATATTGCCTTATATACTGTATTTACATTTATTTTTGAACCTATTTCCCATTTTTTTCCAAAGAAAATATAAATCAATGAGGGTTTGCTCAAGACATTTGCGCAGTACTATGGATAGATACATACATACTCAATGGCCACTTTATTAGGTAGAGTGATTCAGCTGTATGGTCAGAAAATCAGATAGCGGCAAGTAGTGATGTAGAGATTGTCAAGATGACCTGGTTGTTGGTCCCAGGCGGGTATTTCAGAAACTGCGGTCCACTAGCAATTTCCCTTACTAGGGTTCACAGAGAATGAAAAAAGACAAAATATCCAGTGAGCAGCAGGGTGAAAATGCTTTGCTGATGCCAGAGGTCAACAGAGAGGGTCAGACCTCTAATAGTAGGATAAAACACCCGTACAGGAGAGCATTTTTAAATACACAGTAAAGTCTGACCTTGAGCTAGATGGGCTACAGCAGCAGAAGCCCACATCAAGTGCCATTCCTCATCTAAGAACAGAAAACTGAGACTACAGTTCACATAGAATCATGAAAATGAGACAACAGAAGATTGTGTTGAAATGTTGCCAAGTCTGGTTAGTCTCCATTTCTTCTGCAACATTTGGATAGTGGGGTCAGAATTCAACATAAACAAAATAAAACTATGGCTCCACCCTGGTTCTGGCTGGCAGTGACGGTGTAAAGAGATGTTTTCTTGGACTCTTAAGTATAAATACCACAACCCACCTAGTGCAGTGCATTATGTAAAAATCATTAAAAATACAAACAAAAAGAAAAAAAAAACGGGAAGATCTGTGTACTAGGTTTTTCTATGCTCTTTAAAATCAGGACCCAAATGAACTGACCAAAACTTCCACCACCGTCTTCTTTTAAAAAATATCTAAAACAAAAACACAAAATGAACACTGCACAGCATACACTTACTGATAACATGGTTTATTTTTATGAATACAATTTAAAATCATCATTTATTTTTTAAATGCAATAGAATTAACCAGTTAACACCTACAGGGGCATTGAAAACCCATTTATGGTTACACTTACTGACATTTAGCACCCCCCAAAAGACAAATACAAATGTTTCAAAGGACTAAAATCCGTTACACACATCCCAGCCTTTACACATAAAATATAAAACAGTGCATCCGACAAACTGCAAGTGTTCAAAATCTCTGCCAAACAATGCTGGTTATTCAGCTGCGAGGGCTGTCCAGAGGTCGGAGCGCTGTGTGTGAGCAAGATGTAGATATTTCATGTATTTGTTTGGACAAATATGCAATATTTAAGGCACTTTTTTTTTTATGGCGGCCAATAACAGGAAGAAGATGGAGACTTTGATTTTCAATCAAAACTGTTTGTCTTGTTTTTAAATGGAAAAGTTTTTTTTTTTTTAAATCTGTCATTATGCAAATGTTCATGCCTTTTTTTCAAGCATTTTGATCAATCCTGGTAGATTATGACCAATCTACTGCAATGTCGCTCCTCTTATGACCTTTATGGTTGCTTCCAGCAGCATAACACACCATGTTACAAAGCTCAAATCATGTCAAACTGGTTTCTAGAACAGTGAGTTCAATGTACTCAAACAGCTTCGACAGTCACCAGATCTCAACCAACAGAGCACCTTTGGTGGAACTGAAGTTTCTAACAACATCAGGCTGAGTTCCATCATTCTTCCACAAGAGGGAGCCAAAGTGTGCATCATGGACGGTCGCTTTTCAAACTCCCTGTCACTTTTAAAACCAGTCACATTCAAAACTTTGGGCAAATTCTCAGCCACTGTATGTTTACTAAAGGTCAGAAAAAGGGCCATGAAACGCTCTGACTGACTGCAATACTCAGTCCCAAGTGCCGAAGAAACCAAACTGGTTGAAAGATGTTTGGCAACAAACACTGAGTGTACGCTGGCTTTGCTCGAATAAACTAAAGGTTAATATTTGCTGATGGAGGATCAGGGATTCGGAAAACGTGTGTACATGCACATATATTATTTGAACACTTCTAATTTCGCAAAAGCACGGCAGGAAGATTTGATCCAGTGTTTGGGACCGTCCAATTGCTTTCCACTGAAGCATTTGGTCAAAGAAACACAGATTAAATGTTTCCTTTGTTTCTGTGTGAGCTGTGGAAGGTTGTCAAATAGGTAAGTCTGAGTTCACCTGGCAGACTCAGCTAGTGATTTCTGTGGGTCAATAAACGAGTCTTAATGCAAAGCGTCAGCCACAGGATACAATGTAAATCAGCCATCTGTGGCTTTGAAGATCAACAGAGTCTGTTTACACGGGCATTTACTGGCATGTAGAAAATAAATGACAGCAGAAATGGATGGGTGGATCAAATAGAGACAGGGGAAACAGGACTTCAAACGCCTACTGGACTTCATTGAAGGCAAATCACCCGAAGCATCTCAGAGGCGCCTTCCACAGCTAGTGAGACCGTGGGTGTGCGAGCATCAGCAAGTGACGGTTTCAAACGTCCCCACAGCAGGTTCAGGTTCTTAGAAAAGGATGATCTTGGATTTCTTTCGCTACTGTGATTATGATTATCAATGTGATTTTGATAACTGACCAAATAAATTAATCTGCTACAATCACTTGCACATCACTTCATCTAGATCATACTACTCATTTCTTAGTTCTTTATTGAAGTAACAGCCGCTCGATTGCTGTAATCTGGCGAACATGTTGGTGGGCCTCAAAGAAGCAGTGGCTTTGATTCTTAATACTCCTCTAATCAAAATCATGTTGGTGTATTAGTTTTAGTAGAGGTAACGTGCAATATCTCTCGTTATATTGGTAAGGAGCCTTATGAAAGTGTTATATATGAAATAAAGAAATTACATGTTTTTGCAAGTATATTTATGACTCTTTGTGTTTGTTTCTACGATATAATCAATTCAGTCCTTTAAGTTAAGTATCTTTATAGAACTATTTCGCCATATTTGTTGCAATTTATGCTGTCCTCTTAACGAGATCTCACGTTTTTTTTTTAAATGTGAGACTGGTTTAAAGAAAAATACTGTTTTCATTCACGTGAGATATGCTTGGCAGATTATAGGCCTATTTACAACAGTTTAAATATTTATATATTATTTTTGCAATCACCGGAGGTTTTTTGGCCCAACTCAGAGTCTTCTGTTATAGATGACCGATTATAAGAAGGCAGATGTGTCAAATTTGATTGCCCTGCACTGTCGTTGCTTTCAAAGTAAAAGCTTCAACACGATGGTTTAAATAACAAGCTCGATGTGAGCTTCCAGCTTAAAAGACTAAAAAAAAAAGCAATGATTTTTTTCATGTGCGGTAAATAGCATGGTGTTCACCTCAGTTCGGTTTTATGAATTTTTTTTGTTCACTTTAGCGTCATTACAATGAGGAGGAATTGCGTTCGTTTTATTTTGAAACCCACAACGGGAACACAAACACAGTCGCTTCTTCCGGTTTCATCTAGCTGGCTTGATCTGAAGCATGAGGTGAGCGGCACACCTCTCCACCCAGTCAGCATCATCGGTGTCCGTGACAGAGTGACAGACTGAGGGGGAAGACTTCTCCAGCAGAATAAAATCAGCGAAAGAGTAACAGGACACACTGAGGCACCATTTTTCTTTTATTATTTGCGGGTTAGGTCGTTCACCATGAAGCCTTCAAACAGTCGCCCTTCAGGAGGGGGTAAAAACCCCTTCGTGCACGAGCTCAAATTGACCATGACAGAAAAAATAAAGGTAAGACAGTAAAGATAATAACAAGTTATAAACTGTGTTTGTCTAAGATGATGTTAGATAGACATATTCCTCCGTCCTCCGACCACAATGTGCTGCTTGTTTAGTGACTTTCCTACTTTCCTAAACTTTACCGACGCTTTAATGACGCTGTTTTTTCATGACTCTTATTCGTTAATGTTGACTGGAATAAAAACGGACGAGGAAAACACAGAACACGGATAGGGTTTCAATAACCGACAGCAGTGTGATAATGCTGTGTGGCTGTCTAGGAAAAAAGTTGTTTCCTGGTTCAGGTCCGACACTCAGCTGAAATGACGACAAACAGGTTAAAAGGACAAAAATCGTGCGGTGACAAATCTAGTTTCTGTGCCCCTTTTTAAAAAGCAAAAGTTGTGTCATAGCGGATTTAAAAACATGCTGTGAATTCATTCAGTGTTGAGGAAAATCATGCAAGAGTAAGAGCTCCTTTTTTGTCTTTTTTTAAAAAAAACGTTTGAATGAACTCTATTTTCTCAGAGATAAACAGCAGCACCTGTTCAGTCTTACCCACACAGCAGCACCTGCCATGCAGACCCATTTCCTGCATTGTTGGTGTTATCTGAAGCTTTGTGGGTTCATTGTGGAGTCAGCCACTTTCCTCACATTTTCCTGGATGGGTGTGTAAAGCCAGTCTTGAATCTTAATTGACCGTCTTTTGCATATCAGACATTTGCATTGTTTGTTTATTTAATGTTTTGTTTAATGACAGGCCTATTGTGGATGGGAAGACCTTGCAAGACCGAAACCCTGTGCACTATCATATTGACCTGATTAGCTGGCACAGTGACACATGCTAATCAGCCCAACATACACTTCACTTCTGTTAGGCCACAGTTCTGCATTTCCAGCTGCTTCCTTTCACTGAGTGCACACACAGTTGGGCTGTGTTTACGCTTGAGTTTTAGCCGACGGCTAAACAAGCTGACAGCTAAACAAGTTTAATGTGTACTCAGATAGTCCTCATTAGGCTGCCGGAGTGGTGAAAGCCTGCACAGCAGTAAGAAAAGCAAAGATGGGAAAAGTACAGTTTAAATAAGGCATGTGCTCTAAAGCATGGAAATGTAGAAAAGACAGGACAGCTGTGGCTTCATTCCTGCATCAGTTGGCTCGCTGCTGGAGGAGAGCAGTATGGCTGAAATGATTCCTCATTAATCAAGCGGTTCAGCAGATTTTCTGACTTAAGTGATTTAGGGTCTGCTGACAGCATGCCATTGTCCTAAACACAAGTTACTGATCAACTGAAAATCATCTTATCTAGTTAAAGGTTTATGTGAAAACATGAAGAGAGCCCTGATCGACCCCCTCAGGTTACCTCTCCCATAGCTCCAGGGCCCAGAGGTGTCTGCTTTCATGCTCAACGAAACATACAACGGTCTGAAAATTGGTTCACTGCTGCCTAACCATTAACAAATCCACCGAGATAAGATGACTGAAAAAAAAAAGGCCCGTGTGTGTTTATTATCAACCACTTGACATTGGCTTGCTGAAAGCTTTTAACTCCACCGGCCCCTCTTATTAGTGCCTGAGTGTGTCAGTTTTTCAGTCGGCGTGTGCTTTAAGTTGGAAGCGTGTCTGTGCCATATGACCGCAGCAGGTCATCGAAGGTAAACTTGACCATGTGTGTGTCTGTGTCTGGTTCACACCTCCTGCTGCTCTGCTTCCAGAGGGACGCTTTTCCACTTGCAGAACCTGTGAAGGGTTTATACGCTCGTGTAAACAAATACACGTTTTGCCTGAAGGAAAACGAGGAAAGCGACAAAACGCAACTTCCTCAGTGCTTTTGTTTCTAGAGATATGGCTGCATGGTTGCTTAATGCTTATGAATCTGTTTGCTATAGGCAGTAGATTGGTGCTGCTCTTCCTGGAATGTCTTTTCTAACTTCCCAGCAAACATGATCACAGCACCGTAAACCAACCAGGTCAGCAAATGAAGCTCATTCCAGCTGAGTCACGCATTACTGAATGGCCAACAGCTGCCAGCTCTCAAGCTCACAAACAAAATGCCTGTGACATTAAACAGAGCTGCGATGTCCGGCGAATGGATGGGGATTAATACCAGACACGGCTTTAACAGTGCGTGTGTGTATAAAGTTGTGTTTCTTTTGGCTTTGATCTGCTACTGCCTGGCTTCAGTTCCTGCTGCACAGGCAGCCGAAATATGACAAATGGTAGGACAGGTTAAGTGCTTCCTGGGTACGCATTCACTGCCTCAATGAAAACAATTAGCCAAGAGCAATTACCTTCCTAACGGGTTAAAACTGTAGCGAGCCACAATACACAGGGGAGCAATGTATCTTGGGAAAATGGTTTGTCAGCGGAAGTGTTAAAATATTTTAGTGGATTTAGATCCGTTGTAATCGTCATCAAGTTTACCATTTATATGAGGATTATTTTTTCTGAAATAGGTGGTTTGTTGAACCTCTAAAAATTGAAACACCCATCATGATATCCCAGTATCAGTCACTCTTATGGCCTCAATCACACAGGCCCAGAGGCCGAGCCCTGAGACTGCATATTCCCCTCAAGTGGTGTCTTGGGGTTTCTGGCTATTGTGTGAAGTTGGTCACAAAGAGGGTGCTAGACCAAAAACTTGCTTGTGATTGATTTAGGGACTATCAGATTGCTGCAGATGCCACTAGTCTGCAGATACTTGCTAACAACCACTAGTAGTGAAACTTTTAAAAGTGTGACGCTGTGAGGTGCAGACAAAATGTGCACATCTGCAGCTCTGCATGTCAATTCGTGCAGCACAACCTGTAGAACATGGTCTCAAAATAATTTTTAATATTTCTTTGTACAAAGGGGAGCCAATAACTACAAATTCTGTGTTTTCACCTACAAATGACACGTTTTGCCACATGTCAAGCAGAAATAAATATTGTAGCTGTGCATCTATAGAGCCAGAGGTCGAGGGACTTTAGGTCAGAAATAATAAAACAGTTCAATCTTGATGGCAGTGGTCTCTACCGGGATGACATTTCCCCGATCTATAGGGCATAAGAGGTCACTGACTGGTTCAATGAATATGGAAATGACATGAATCATGTGCTATAGCCTTCACATTCACCAGATCTTAACCTAAGTGAACACCTATGGGAGAATACTGTTCCATCACATCGAGCTAACTTTCTGCTGCCTGGCCAGACCCCTGTGTGTTTTTTGTTTTTTTTGTCACATTTAAGGTACGTGCCAGATGTTTTGCTTTGTCTTTATATGTGTAGAAAGTGAAAGTAGTGAGAAGTAAGAGACTGAGTCACTACATTCCTTAAATGTCTCCTGAAAGTGTTAACGCAACTATACATAGCGCCTTGAGGCGACTTTTGTTGTGATTTGGCGCTATATAAATAAAATTGAATTGAATTGAATTGAATGTACACGTATGCGTGTCAAGACTGTAGATTCCTAGAATCTCTTTAGCATTAGGTACAACAGAGCAACCTCATCAGTTACTATGACATGACAAAGAAATTCAGTGACTGCTTTAATCTGAGTTGTTTATACATTTTTTAGTGGGTGAAGGATTAAAACGTTCAATATTGAACAAATTGTGCGTCAATGTACAATAAGAAAAAAAATCTACATCTGTTGATCTGTAGTCACTTTTATTCTGTGTGCTGTAAGTGAGCTCAGTGCTCTTGAAGTGCATTTCTACTGCAAATTTCAAATCTTTAGTCAAGGATCAGCCGGCGTTCTCCTAAAACACTGGAAATTGCACCCCTCTGCCCCGCCCCTGCATTTTCTTATGCCACCTCTTGAGAAAATGTCAGCAGATCCTCCCAGATGGACTTGTTAAGCTCTGATGGTGACGCACAAGCTCGGATGGGTGGAGAGAGGCGTTCGAGCATTATAAATCACCCCCATTGCTGTTTATTTATTAATGCAGCCCTGAAGAGTGCACCTGGGTTCCTGCAGATAGACAACTACACAGGGAAGAAGAGAAAGATGGAGCAGGAGGGGAGGGGGAGGTTACATATGACTCCCTTGAGGGGTGACAAAAAACACACCAGTGCAAAGTAGGAGGAAAACTATAAAAGGAAGAACAGCAAGATAAATGAAGGTACAGCTGAGCGACTTGGAATAGAGAGTGAGAGACTGATGGATGGATACGCGAGAAGCATGATTGTAGATCACTGTAAGGCAGGCTTGGAGCTCAATGAGAGGGGGAGCGCAATAAATGTGTAGAATGAAGGGATCAAATAGAGGTCATACGAGCAAAACGAAGGAGCTTTTAAATGTTACACAGTTTGAATTTGCCCTTGAGGCCGTGACTTTGCCAAATCTTTGTCATTACACAGTAAGAGAAGTCATGACAGGTCAGTCAACTCAATTTATATCCTTATCATCCTGTAGTTTTATCCTTTTTACCTTCGTATTTATGTAAAATTATTGCGAACTAAACCCAACACATGTGAACTTTTGTTGGCTAAACCCAATGAGAGTCATCCATTCACCACGAGTGACCTTTACTAAACAGAAACACTAACAGAATCCTTTATGGTCATAACATTAGGCAATAGAAGTAGCAACTGTCAGATCTGAGGCTTATTTAAGGTAATTCATGAGTAATCCCAGAGATTTGATGTGTAGTCATGAACTCTGGTGAACAAACAGAATTTTCACGGGTTTTGTCAGAAAAAGGATGTGCGGCACAACCTTTCCAGGAGTGGACATCCCACCGCATTCAAAGACCAGACTGTTGAGTGCTCAGGCTACAGGCCTCAGTTAGCATGTTAAAAAACAAACATGTCAGCACATCTCAGGTTTGTAAAGATGCAACTGGACAAACCACAAGACTTCTGGAACCTTGTCCTTGTACAGATGAGACCAACTGGTTTAGATCAAACACAGCATATCAGCACACCTAATACCTCACACCAGCTGAGAGGGGTGATTTAAAGCACACGATCTAGACACATTGTCATCATTGAGTCGACCATGAAGTCTCCTGTATACCGAATGATTCTTCAGTCTTCACTGCAAGTAGAAGATGGCTTTAGTCAGCATGGTTCAATCGGTTGATTTGGGGACTGCTGTTCTTTAAAGCTTTGATATTAGCGATGTTGGAGTTGAGGTTTTTTGTAGGAACAAAGATGTAATAAGCAAACGCTGGATCTGATTGAGAACCTGAGGATGCCGTGTATACTCATTCAGTAGCAAATTGCGAGTCACGGGCTTGCCACACCCAAAAACACACAAATAATGGGATCTTTTACATAGAGTCTGGTTTCAAACGACACCAGCAGTAGAAAGGGCTGTGTGTGAATAAGAGTATATTTTAGGATGATTTGCTGTTAATATATTGAAATAAACGTTGTTTAGATGCAAACACAATTAAGCCTATATCCTCCCTTTATTCTTGCTTTCGGTAATCGGCGTTGATAGTGCAAACCGCTGATGTGTGTTGGGCCTTTAAAGCGCGATTAGACAAGCACAGTTAGTGTTAATTATGTGGTTTTGTGTTCTGCTAAAGGCACAGATGGAGTGTTGACACTGTAAAATGTAATAGGATGTTTCTCAGCTGTATAGGAATGTATGCTATGCTAATTATTGTTTTTTTGACAGTTGGCTAAAACACAGCAGGGATGTTACAGTAAACAGCAGGTTGTTGAAGTGCAGCAGAAGTGTGACTGTTTGTGTCTCTGTGTGTTTTGTCCCTGCAGATAGGACTCATGTCAGTTACAGTTTTTCCGGTGCGGCTGCTGCTGGTCTCTTTCCTCATGCTGCTGGCGTGGCCCTTCGCCTTCACGGCTTCTCTGGGACGTTCGGAGTTTGCGATCGAGCCTCAGTCGTGGTGGAGGAGGTGGGTTTGTGTGAAAGCACCCATGTGCTACTAAGACTTATGGGATTAGACAGAAATGTGTGAAAATCTCAGCATCCTGTAAATTGTATTGCAATATATAATTATAAATTGAGATGCTGACTGTTGCCCACTGTCTGCTCAGTATAACATCAGCATGCTGGTATGCTTTTATACAAATGTTAGTTGTGTGAATAATTAGAGTGCAGCACTCTGTCATTTTTACAGGTTCTTCGTTACTGACAACCTCTAAAAAATAAAATATTGAGCCCATTGTTGTATTTAAAACACAGAAAACACAACATTAGTGAAAAAGACTGCGGATTAATAAAAATTGTTGCTAAAAACATGAACAGATTTAGCCACTCACTCACATTCTGAAGATAAATATGTCTATAGCAGGGGTCTGATGATGAGTGTCATATCAACCATTGCATTAGCAATAAATTTAATAACGCTCTATATCAACAGTTACACACTATACAGAACAACTTTATAGAATTATATTTGTTCGCAGGTGTTGGCAAATCAGCTATTTTGAAAAAAAAACCCCCAAACAAACACTTTTTATCAATAACAAGAACACCAACAGCAAAGGAACTATACAACAGAAAACGCAATGCTATTTATGGTCTCCTCACAGCACTGATAAGAAAAATAAACTGGGCCAACACGGCATATTTGTTAATACAGAGACACACATGTTAATGTGATCTCTGGTCTCCCACTCAGAGACACAGGTCTCCGAGTGTCCAGCATTCAGAGGCTACCTGAGGACACTCGTGTGGAGCCAAATACTGTCAATAAGGCCTCTGCAGTGTTCTTAAGACAGTAAAACTTGTCAGGTAGTGACGTCCAGCAGGTGAGAATGAAAGCTCTGTGAACACGCACAGCTGTGGATTTCTGGTTTGATCAGAAAAGAAAACATTGGTCCAAACACCTGAAAGTCTTCGAATGTATCCATGTATTTCCGTGGTGTAGGGCTGTTCGATATAACGATATATATCGGATGAGGATATAAAAACATCTATCGTTTCGTTTTACACTATCGTTTGTTTCGTGGTGTCGCAAAATAAACTGTTTACGGCAATATTTTTTTTTCATCGTTTTGATGGTCACTGTAGTGGCTATATTCATTTCTTAAAGTTCTCTCTTTCTCTTATATTTTTTAATATAACCACACTATGGACGGACAAGCGACTGTTTTTATGCGTTGTGGTTAGCATCAACGACGGTAACAGCATCGCGTGTCCGCTTGTTTATGTTCCACATAGACCTTTCACAATAAAACTCAAGATCATGTGAATCACGTGAAAGAGCAGATTATTTACGGATGAGAAGTAAAAAAAAGAGCTGCCAGGTGCTAAAACATAAACCTTAGAGTCAAACGTTAGAACAGGCTTTTCCCCGCAGCACGTCGTGTAATAAATGCTCACAAAGAAAACGGCGGCCGTTACAACTTATGTCTAAAAATGTATAGTTTCATGCATTGGGTGAAGTGTCGGGAAGTGTAAATTTCAACATCGCTTGAAAACTCTGCCAGCTAGCAACGTCCCTCTGCAGCTGTCTGTGTGTCCTTCGTCAGGTTTATAGACCTGTGTCTAAGAGCGATCATGCGAGCCATGTGGTTTTGCGGAGGTTTCCACTGGATCAAAGTGAAGGGAGAACGGGTAGAACCCTCTGAAGCGCCCATCCTCACTGTGGCACCACATTCTTCTTACTTTGATGCCATCCCAGTCACTATGACCATGTGCTCCATAGTCACCAAACTGGAAAGCAGGAGCATCCCAGTCTGGGGCAGTAAGTGCACATTTACTGAAATTCCTATAATAATGTACAGCATTTGCACAATGTAACAGAATGCATTCAGACAGGTAACTAAATAGATTTAGCTGAGCTATAGATGCCTCCAGATTTTCTTTCTTTCTTTCTTTCTGTGTGACAAAGACTGTGCATTCTGTTAAGTCAACTCTCCATCAGTTTTCTTTTATTCAGTGTTTTGAACATTAATTCACTTGTTGTGGCTTACTTCCAAAATCCACTTCTTCATCATCCTCTCCCAGCTTTGATCAGCTACATCAGGCCAGTGTTCGTGTTTCGGTCAGACCAAGACTCGAGACGAAAAACTGTCGAGGAAATCAGGCGGAGAGCGTGCTCTGGAGGGAAGTGGCCTCAGGTAAACTACATGCATATACGCATAAGGGCACAGAGATCTGATCTCAGCTGACACCCGGGAATTTAAAGGTGATAAATTAAAAGCGAGAGCAAATTCAAACAAGAAATGAAGAGCGATTTGTGTCTGTTGCAGATCATGATATTCCCGGAGGGGACCTGCACCAACAGGTCGGGTCTAATCTTATTCAAGGCTGGTATGTATTCAGTCCACTTCCTGCTTTGGCCTGACTGTAAAGATAGTCTTTTGTGTGTTTATTCTTACTGGTTCTCAATAAAACTGCTCTGAACTCGTCATGCATGCAAACTACCTTGATAAAATCTCATTCATTTCCATCTAGACCCACCATCAAGTCAGAAATTTTCACTCGATGGTAAAAGGCTCACTATTGCACTGTAAATGAACCACGGCAGACCCGTTCATGTTTGCTTGCATTTTAGCATCTACGTTTATTTCCACAGTTGTTGGTGCTGTAACACTGCAGTGTTAGGCTGCGGCTTTCCAGCCACCAGCTTAACACACACCAGTAACAACAACCAGACTTTTAAGCCAGTGAGGCGTGATTGCGGATGCCGCTCAGGTGTGTCCGCCTTCCCTGTAGCAGCACTGCAGACCACGCCCCGCTACATACCCGCATCGCCCAACTGAGGCCGGGGAGCCATCTGGTCGAATCAGCCCTGACCGTCGGCACCCCTGGTCCAGCTACCGGGAGGTGTCCATTCAGGTGACCACCCACGTATCCAGTGGGGCTGGTGACGAGGTGGGTCTGGGGACCAGCAGCTTGGCGGGCGGCTGCTGCACAGGATCACACAATGCGCCAGCCTCTGGTGGAAGTGAGGCCGGTCCGGACAGCATGTGGACCTCTGGTTTGGCAGGAGCCTCGCGCGCCTCGATCTCCATCTCCAGCTTGGCAGGCGCCTCAACCTCCATCTCTGGCTGCGCCGATCTCTCACACACCTCGTCCTCCACCTATGGCTGGGCAGGTGCGTGGGCCCGGCGGTTGCTCAGAGGCCCTCCTTTGGGGAGCAGGAACGGGTGTAGGCCCCTGCCTGGCAGCAGCCACTCCCACCCATGGAGTGGGTATGGGCGCGGTGGCTGGCTGCATCCTGCCTGGCCTCACCCTGGTGGTCAGGATGGGCGCCAGAACAGTCTGGACCTCCTCCACTCCCTCGCTATCGGGGAATGCCGGTGGGGGTGGCAGCGGTGCTGGCCAGAACCCGATCAGAGCTGCCAGATTTTCAATCCTCTGCCTCCCACGTTCGATCCGGTCCGGGAGTTCTTCCTGCTGGCAGCGTGACACCGCCGGCTGCAGTTCCGCCATGCCGCCTGCTGGGTTTCGGCACTACTTTAAATGAATCATGGCGGGCATGGCACCACAGACCATACCCCGCCACATACACCATCTTCCCCTTTTGCACAACTTCCAAACAACAGACTAACCGACTAGTTGCAAGCAGCGTAGTCGAGTAAACTCATTTTACCTACAGCCGACTTTGAGCGTAAGTGGGACCGACCGGTGAGACTACATGATTTAATGTGTAAAATTTCAGAAAAGGTTCAGGTAGTTCACTGCGCAGACTATCGTGTAATCACAAAATAGAAAGTTGTCGTTAATTCACAGAAAAATATCTTTTCTTTCTTTCTTTTTTTTTTTTTTAAAGTAAACATTAAAATGCAGCACGGTGGCACGGCGGTTAGCACTGTTGCCGCACAGCAAGAAGGTCCTGAGTTCAATTCCAACATCAGGCCGGGGTCTTTCTGTGTGGAGTTTGCATGTTCTCCCCGTGTTTGCGTGGGTTACCTCCGGGTACTCCGGCTTCCTCCCACTGTCCAAAGACATGCAGCTTGTGGGGATAGGTTAATTGGAAACTCTAAATTGCCACTAGGTGTGAATGTGCGAGTGAATGTGAGTGCAAATGGTTGTCTGTCCCTGTGTGTTGGCCCTGCGACAGACTGGCGACCTGTCCAGGGTGTACCCCGCCTCTCGCCCTATGACAGCTGGGATAGGCTCCAGCACCCCCCGCGACCCTGAAAAGGATAAGCGGAAGCGAATGGATGGATGGATGGACTTTAGTAGATAAAAAAAACAAAAACAAAACACCCCAAATAGTCGCTAAAATCCAATGTTTGGTTGTTTTTTTTTTTTTGTTTTTTTTTAACATGTAATTGTTTATCTATTAGTTCATTGCTCATGTTGTAGTACGGATGGCACTGGGGGGTGGAGGTGATAATACAGCTAAGTTCAAAACCTATGTGCTCCTTCACATTTTCTAAAGCTGTCTAGTGGACTAGATTGGATTCTGGCCCCCGCACCTTATGTTTTACTTTTCTAAAAGGATCAAACAAATACATGAATAACTTCATGTATCCCTTTAAAACATTTGTGACAATTAGGTTCATTGTTGCCTTTGTTGCCTGAGGACTGTGTTTGGTTATAGTTCTTAGTAGTGGGTGTGTCTGTTAATGGAGACACTTGGTCTGTTTGCTTTGTTCAGTATACATTTCACGTAGTGTGCGTGGACTTGTAAACGATTATGTATGAATGAGGCTGACTCCATAGCTGCCAACTGGAGGTGTAGATGTCTGGTTAAATGAATTTCTCTTTTGACACAGTGAGTCTGGAGGTTCGGTGACTTGCTTCAGGACACAGAACTGTTGCACTCATCTCTTTATATTTCTGCTCACATCCCGTGTGTGTGTGTGTGTGTGTGTGTGTGTGTGTGTGAGAGACGTTGTCAGCCATTGTTCCCTGCCTGCTCTGTCTAATCCCCTTGCTTCCAGTCCATAATTCGGCCATTCGCAGTGAGCCTTGTGGGTCACACTCTGTCCTGCTTTCACTCACTGTGTGAGTGTCTGGTTAGATCATTGTGCGATGTGTTACCGGTCCTCTCTGGATGTGTCTCCTCTTGTTACATCTCATCACTGGCTCCCAGCTCAACAGATAAACTGTGTGTGTGTGTTAATGTGCTTAAGCCACCTGTGTGTGTGAATGCACACTGCAGTTATGTCCTTTTCTCGTTTCAGTCTTTTAATAGAGCGTTTCTTTCCTCATCTGTCTGCCTGTCCTCTTACTATAGTCTCGTCATTATCATTCAGATGCTGCAGATCTCTTTCACTCCTCTTCACGTTCTCACAGTCTCACGAGAAAACCGATTAATTATAACTTTATTCATTTTAAATGCAGGTCTCAGCCACTCATCAGTGTTTGTTGGCGGAGACTCTTTGTTGATTTACACTCTAGTTAATATGCCAGCTCTCCATCAGCCTTTCCATCACTGATATTAAACAACTATTAAAATCCTCCTCGCCCTGCCTCCAGGGCTTGTTATTCAAATACACACTGAGCTAGGTGATTCATGATGCATGTGTCTGGTTTTCTTTTACTTACTTACTGTAATTTTTTCAGGTTGTTGTGTAGTTAGCTTTATGTGTTTCATTTACAGGGTACAAGGAACTTGTTATATATTAGATATCTCATTTCTATTTCTTTTTTTCTAGCAACATTTTCTTGAATCTTGGAAAAAGAAAACCCGGTTTTAAATCTACACCAGCTGATTATAGGACAGTTTTGATGATTTGGTGACTTTCAGCTTGAGCTACATGTTCACTGTTTTGCTGTGATATAAGCAGCTTCATTCACAGCAGCATCAGGCAGATGTTTTATCCATCAAAACTCTAAAAACCTATTGTATGGTCTGTGGCCAGCATTAAACAGCAGACACACAAAGTTGGTAAACTGAGCCTGATGCTCATGTGTAATATTTGTAACCCTTTGCAATCCATTCATAAGTTACTGAATAGCTTGAGTAGGTCTTTGTCCAGTGATAAATATTGTATGTAGCTTTTATCAGCCTGCCCATCATCAGCAAGATATAATAGAATTCAATGGAAACGCTCTGTCCCTGTTCCCGATGTTATTTTGAGGTTATGATCTTATCACTCACTAAACCAGTTGATGCAGTCCAACTCTATTCTTTTTCTGTACTCATAAAATCTATTTGGAAACCCCCTCCCCATCATTTTCCATCAAATACTGCTAATTTCTCAGTTACTTTGACTCTATAAAAACAAATAAATTTGACGTGTGACATGCCTGACACAAGATAAAGAAGTAGGATTCAAATAAAAGCTTTGAGCTGGGTTTGGGGACAATCGATCACGTTTAGCAAAAATACCAGATTGTTCTCATCACCTTCCTCCTCCTCTTGTCTTCCTCAGGTGCTTTCATCCCAGGACTCCCAGTGCAGCCAGTGATACTACGCTACCCAAACAAACTGGTATACACCATAAATCTTGTCCTCTTCCTTTTGATCCTATTCTGTGGCTCCTCCCATACCTGCAGCTTTAGACGTAGGTCACGTCTATAGTGACTCCACGTACACTGTACACACCCACACTGACACGCCTGTGATGCAGTGAGTTCTTTCCTTCACATTAGTGTGTTCCTCTTGTGTTGAATGAGCTCATGTTGTAGTGGGATGATATTTCATCCTTTGTTTGTCTCTCACGCACACACGCATCGTACATACGTGTGCATGTACACATGCACACAGAGGTGTCATGTCTCTCTCTCAGCACCTCTCCCCGCTCTTTCATTAAACATGCAGCTCCTGTTACCTCGTTTTTCTTTTCATTCCCTCGAAAGCCTTTGTCACCGTTTCCCGTGGTGCTCGGTGTACTCACTGCGCTGACGTCTTTGACACCGTGGCACCGCAAGACGGTTAAGTGAGGCAGAGAAGGTGAAAATAAAGGACAGGGTGACTGCTTCTTAGTTTGTTTTTTCTCTGCGCACCACAAGATGTGCTTCCATTCAGTCTCTTTGCATTTGTTAATTTAGTGATGGCCGCCTTCTTCGATGCGAGGTCAAGTCAGGTCATGTTTGGCAGCTCTCACGTTATGAGACTGAGTGTGGAATAGCAGCACGCAGGAAGTATTGTGGAATTAAGGGGGTTTTATGTTTTGTGTTTTTTTTTTTGTTTTTTTTTGTTTTTTTTTATTCTTCTCTCGGTTGGGGGTGAGGGGAGGGTCCACAGCTTTATTTCAGTCGTCCTTCCTTCAGGGGAGCGTCGCTATTGGTTAATGCAATTTTGAATCGCAGCCTACATTGTGTCTGACTTTTAAATGTGATGGCCATGACCCTTGCCTTGAACAATATATTAGACTATTTCCATCTTATAAAATAGAAAGTGAGGTGTTTTGCTTTCACAAAGCAAAGTTGAGGCTTCAAAAACAATATTCTGCAAACCAACAGGTGGTTTTTCTATACAGGCTAGGATCTCTGCTATGTTTCACTGTAATAAGTGTGCCTCACAGTGATTATGGATACATAAAGAGTTTGTGGATTTGTATAAAACTGCTTCATGGGGTGTTTGGTTCTCTCTCCACAGGATACCATTACATGGACGTGGAAAGGTCCCGGAGCGTGAGTGTTTCTTTCTCTCACACACCTTTACAGTCACTGTGGGAATACGCTGGGAATATGTCTGCGAGGCTGTGTGTCCAGGACACTTTTGTTCCATCAGGGAGCGTTAAAAAAAGCACAGCATGCAAAAAAAAACACACCAAAAAAGGGACCAGGTGCTGTTTTTTTTTTTTTGTTTTTTTTAGCCGACCAGAGCAGAGAGGTGCATGTGTAACGGGCTGGTTAAAAGCAAACATCGTCGTCTGGTGTGATCGACTCCAGCGCATTCCCAGGGTTACATAGAATATACACAAAACAACAACACACACAGTCTCCCACTCTGTGTTATTAAAGTTACAAGCTGTTTGTTTCCATCAGGGTGTAGATGAAGCTGTTTGTTCTGTCTTCCAGGTTTCACATTTTGTGGCTCACTCTGTGTCAGCCTCATAACTCCATTGAGATTGAGGTGAGCGGTTTCGTATGACAGAAGTCAGCAAACTGACTTATTGCAATTTATTATTATGTTGCCGAGCAGTATGATCAGTGTCACAACAACAAGACTGAGTTGAACTCTCTCTTTAGTACTTGCCTGTTTACAGTCCATCGAACGAGGAGAAAGAAAACCCCGCACTGTTCGCCAGCAACGTCAGAAAGCTCATGGCCAAGTAAGTGTCCGATGATCAACGCACGCTTGCTTTGGATGTTCTTGACTCAAAACTTTTTCTCTGTCCTCGTAGGGCGTTGGACCTGCCGCTCAAAGACCTGTCCTTTGATGACATTGAGATCAGCCTATCGCGCGGCCCTCTGGGCATATATGATTATCGCAGCCTCCTAGAGTTCAACCAGCTAACATGTCGTTTAGGGTAAGTGGTGGGAGACTGGAACGACTAGTTAAACTGCTTGGTTGATGGGTGCTGAGTCAACACTTTGGGAAAAGTGTGTAAACACTGCCACCTATTGGTGGCTGAGCAGAAACACACACCAAAACCAAAAGCCAAAATAAAAAACCCCAATGAACTTCAATTTACGAGTATAATTATAACCATGTTGGACCTCCTTTTTTTTTTTTTTTTTCTTCCCCCTGGATTTGTTTTAAAAAAGGCTGAGGAAACTCCACACTTTGTACTGTCTTTTTTTTAGTGTTGTTTCCAGTATGACTTACTCTTATTTAATCTGGCTTCTTTGAGGTTTTTCCTTTTTTTGCTTCGTCCTAACAGACTGAGAGCAGCAACAACAGACAGGGTGCTTGAAGAGCAGGCCAGGAGAGCCAGGAAGCTCCAGGGAGACAAACTGGGTTTGGAGGACTTTGCCCAGTTCCTCAACCTCCCTGTTACAGACACACTTAAAGAAGTTCACAGCTTCTTTGATGAGGTAAACATGAAGGAAGCACAAGATATAGCAAAGGGAAATGTATAAACGTGGATTTAATGTTAAGAAAAGTTGATAAAAAAATGTTTTTTTAAAAAGATCCAGCAATGCTCAAATAATCACACAAAGTTATAAAATGAGCTTTACAGAAAAATACATAAAAATCTGTTCTTTTGTTTCTTTCTGCAAAATATAAAAACGATAAAATTCTTAAAATTTGTTTCAAATTCACGAAAATCACAATAAAATAAAATAAAGTTCTCATAGCAGAGAATAAAAAAAGGTAAAGTCAATGAATTTTACTTCAGAGTTAATGTGTTTGCAGGGTGAAGGGAAGCGGCGAGGCATTTTGGGCAGGACTGACGGGCCACAGAGGAATGTTTAGGATATGAGGAGAATGTTTGGAAGTTTGGAGGCTTTTGGAAGAAATTGCAAAGTTTTCTTCTCCTGCATTTTTGATAGAAACTAGTTGTAGAGTTTTAGATTTTTGTCATTGAATCTGTTTTTAGTGTTGTGACCATTTAAAATGAGCATAGTTTAAAACCAGATCTGCTGCCTTTAATATTCCACTTTATCGGTAACACAACACAAGCTTTGTGTGGTTTAACTCTGCCTGTATGTATCCTAAAAAGGTAAAAGATACATTTCTAATAGTGAGCCACAGTTGGAACAGTGCTTTTCTTTGTGGCATCCTGATACATAAATCTAATAATAAACAGAGGGTTTTACAAGGTGCTCAAAGGAGCGACAATTTTTCAGAAACTCCTTAAAAAAAAAAAAAAAAAAAAAAAAAACAATTTCATGAGCTGAATCCTTAAATTAAGACTAGATGGTTTTCTCTGTACTGTGTGAACAATCACACAGTTACAGTCTGACGTTAATATGGAGGCATGAACATTAGGCATTGTGATGGTCCACAGGCATCAACAAATAGATGTTTTTCTTGCTAGTTGTGAGCTCAGCAGCTTCATCTGTTTGTAAGAAGCAGCCAACCATAAAGAAGCTAATTTAAAGGAAGGGGAAAGGCAACCGAAACAGTGTTATGTCACAGGCTCAGTATAAGCTAAATAAGGATTATTATGAGCTATGAGTCATCCAAAGCTTCTCTAGTAAAATTCTTCAGGAATAAAAATATGCAGCTGGAAAATTGTAATGAGTCCACTTTAAATTTAAAAATTGGGCGTCTTTGTATGTAGACTGAACTTTGTGTGGCTATCTAGTCCTAAATGCAGTCAAATACCATCATAGCCTCTTTAAAATAATAAAAATAATTTGATATTGATAAAATACTTTAATTGGTTGGGCTTGATAGTTAGCTGGGTAGATTCTGTCTATGCTGACCTCTCAACAAACGTCCATCCATCCATCCACCCATTTTCTTCTGCTTATCCGGGGCCGGGTCACAGGGGCAGCAGCCCAAACAAAGAAGCCCAGACCCCTCTCTCCCCAGCCACCTCCTCCAGCTTGTCCGGGGGAATATCAAAGCGTTTCCAGGCCAGTTGCGAGATATAATCTCTCCAGCGTGTCCTGGGTCTGCCCCGGGGCCTCCTCGTGGTGGGACGTGCCCAGAACACCTCACCCAGGAGGCGCCCAGGAGGCATCCTTGTCAGATGTCTGAACCACCTCAACTGACTCCTGTCGATGTGGAGGAGCAGCGGCTGAATGGCTGAACTTCTCACCCTATCTCAAAGGGAGAGGCCAGCCAACCTTCGGAGGAAGCCCATTTCCGCCGCTTGTATTCGCGATCTCGTTCTTTCGGTCACTACCCGCAGCTCGTGACCATAGGTGAGGGTAGGGATGCAGATCGACTGGTAAATTGAGAGCTTCGCTTTTATACTCAGCTCTCTCATCACCACAACAGACCGGTGCAGCGTCCGCATCACTGCGGCCACCGCACCAATACGTCTGTCGATCTCCTGCTCCCTTCTCCCGTCACTCGTGAACAAGACCCCGAGATACTTAAACTCCTCCACTTGGGGCAGGAACTCATCCCTGACCCGGAGTGGGCACTTCACCCTTTTCCGGTTGAGGACCATGGCCTCACAACAAACATGTTATATTTAAATAAATTAAATAATTAAAGTGCTTGGGCTAAAAGTGGTCTATGTTTAGTTTGAAACCTTGTCTATATAGGAGCTATGACACTGCCACAAAGTTAAAATCAGGGTTAGTGCTTAGTAGGTGAATATACTAGAGACTTCATATGTACACCACAGTCCTCCATTTCAATCGATAACATGGTCAGATCAATGGATACTTGTGCTGTAAGTGTGGGGCTTATCCTGCTCCTTTTGTTCACCGAGGTGTTTTTGTTCCCAGCATGGAGATGGACAGATAGACGTCAGGCGCTACGTTATCGCTCTGTCGACCGTTCGTCGACCCACAAAGTCCATGGAAACCCTCAAACTGGCCTTTAAGGTAAGTTTTTATACTGCTTACTCCGGTTTAACATACACTGACCAACAGCTGAGCAAGTACACCTTGCTAGTATCAGCTTTCACCCTGAGAGATGCCTTATAGCATAGATTTAACAGGGTGCTGGAACCATTCCACAGACACTTTGGGCCATAGTGACATGATGATGCAGATTTGTGAGCTGAACATCCACAGTGTGACTCTCCTGTTCCACCACATTACAACATGTTTTCTATTGGATTGAGATCTGATGACTGTGGAGGCCATTTGAGTACAGAGAACTCATTGTCAAGTTCAAGAAACCAGTTTGAGATGGTTTGACTGGAAGCTAATCTGAAATTCTCAGATCAGCCTGACTGGACCAGCAGCCAGCAGCCACCCTTCTTCCTCATTCTCATGCTGGTTTGATTCCAGCCGGTCCCCTTGACTGTGTCTACAGGCTTAAATGCATGGAGTTGTTGCGCTATGATTAACCTGTGCTCATTAACCAGTTTAACAGGTGTACCAGCGTAGGTTTCCTAGCATTGTGCTAACGCTTCGTGCCGGGTTCACAGATGTACGAGAGCGAGGAGAGCGGGGAAATCCTGGAGGAGGAGCTAGCCGGCATCTTGGAAATCATGTTAGGAGTGAAGGAAGTGCGACTTTCAAGTGTGTGCTTAACGCTCGGACCCGACACAGGAAAGATCACTTATGGTAAGACCCTGTTTCTGTTTGTAACATGTTTTAAGCATTTTAACACATTGACAGAGATGTCAAATTATTTATAGGACCATTGTACTAATGAGCCCACGTTAGAGATGATTGACAGCATCTGTCAGTGTGTCCCCCACTTCGTCTGTGCTGTCACCGTCACATTTGATTTCTTCTCGGCTTTACTGAAGAAAATAAATACCATCTGTTAGACGAGATTTTACATCCACCATCTGCCTTTTCTAGAAACTGTCAAAGCCTCTGTGAGCATTCTTTTCTTGTCCAATAAAAGAACCTTTTTATTTTTACCATAAAACAACCCATCTGCACAAAATAGCCACTTTCAGTCCGATCTCTAATGATCTAGAATGATCAGAGTAATTATGCTAATGCTGCTAAACAAAAGAGCTAATTACATATGCTGTTTAGATGCCACATATTACATGTTATATTTAAGTTTAGTGTTTTGATTATTAAGAATGTAAAGTTAACATTTGTTTTAATCTCACACTCCATCTCTGCCAGATGATCTTCTTCATTACATCCAGCAGTTTCCACACTTTGCTCTGGACTGCCTCCACTTTAAAGACCATCCACGGGATTTCTGCACAGGCCGATCTCCGAGCTGCAACGGCCAGAGCCGCAGCAAAGACGACTAACTCACAGACTCAAGCCACTTTTTTACCTTCTCTATCAGACCCCATCAATGCTGTCACAACGGTGCCTTCAAGTGCAGGTAGAGAAAGGGCAAAACTTTTAGGAAGAGTATGAATTCCTGATCCAGATAATGTTTTTATTTTTTTATTTCTTTCTTTGCCTTCCTTTATTTTTAATGCCCACTATAATATTAAGATACATTTTGTGTGCTCCACAAATATTTATATATATGTTTATAAAGAACAGATTGAAAAAGGAGAATTTTATGTATCCTTATGTATTGGAAGGTTAGCATTGTTGTTATCTCAGGCTAATGGACACTAGCACAATACCTGCTGTCGTGTTGACACTTTGCATCTCGGCCCATATTTATGTGTTTATATTCCCAGATTACTGCCATTAAAGTTTCACGCGTCACCAGCATATTGCAGTACATTTGCATAACCATTTGCATTACAATGTCCAGACTGTGTTGCTTACTGTACAAGTACCTTTGAGGGTGTTACTGCATCTCACCACACATTCAACAACAAGCTTGTTCATTTAGGTGTCTGCTTTATGCAAAGTCAGAGATAACAGCTGTGGTTTCTGAGCTGTAGCACCAGCATCGTTCTCCTCCTCCTCCTCCTCGTTGGGCCTCACCACTGGGGTTTTTGTGCTGTGTTTAGATTGCAGGGGCCTCTTCAGTGATTCTCTCCCCAGCAGAAATAACATGGAAACTTCCACAATGCATCGGCTCTTGCCTGCTCTCCTGACAGCAGGATTGGATGCGTTCTACTAGTAAATAGCAGGATTATCTGTTTTTCTTTTTTTCCTCCACAATAAAAAAGTTTTCAGAGTACTCTCGGGTTCAAAAACTGCTCTTAGAGATTAGAATCCAAAAGGTTCTTCATAAGAGAAAAACTATATACAAATTAGAGCATGATTGAAAATACTGACACTTCTCAGCTTTAAATGACATTTCAGATGATTTTTCATGTGGAGTTTTAGTTATTAGTGAAAATCTGGATGAAATGTCTGCATTTACCCAGACTGAAGTTAAAACACTCCCTCAGTGCTTTCACTCCTGATTTTCAAAAGCACGACTAAAGAGGTGCCAGCGTGACAGCTGTCTGATTTCCTGCTCCGAGAGTCTTAATGAATGTGGGCCCAGATGTTAGACTGCTGCCTGCAACTACCTTCATACTTTCGTTTGTGCATGAACCTACAGTTATATGATGAGCAAAACAATTTCTCCACCTCTGTCACGTTAAACAGTTCATAAAACACTGCAAAGGATGACGGCTCGGTATTTGGATGAACATATCTTTAAAAACTTGATAAATAACATGTCTTCGCTTTCACGCATCTATCTCTCTTTTTTTTTTTCTTTTTTTTTTTGGTTTGTTTTTCTGCAGTTTGAAAGTTGATCTGTGATGGTCACATTTCATGCCTTATGCCTAGTTTCCATTATGTTTTAAAATTCAAAGCAGAAATCAAAGTTTTCTGCTTTTTATTTTACAAATACAACCTTCTGTTTTGTCATAGTCACTTACTGTGTGTACCCACTAGGGGGAGCTCTGCTTTTATAGTTGTATCTTAAGATGCTTTGAGTTCTCTAAAACTGCCTGACAGTGTTTGTATGAATCAATGCAGTGGGTCACACTTACCTTAAAGCTATCATCAGTGGATTTTTGTCCATCTTTATCTGTTGTCATGTTCTCTGTGTTTTTCTTTTGATCATTATTAGCGAGTTAATGAAAAGGCAGTTCTGTTCATGCTCATCCTATTGCTTTCGTAAGACCTCTTCTCATCTCGGTCCACGTGGTGGCACTAGCTCCGTATGCTATGTACACCAGAGAGCTCATGCACCACTGCCCACCTGATGGACAGCAAAAACATTACCTCATCCCTTGCTTTCATTCCTTGAGGTAAAAAATAGACAGATTAAGCCTGGGCTTTGATGAGAGAAACCTACAGAGGAGGTGTGGAAGCAGGGAGAGAGGGATAGAAACGGAGGAGAGAAACTAAATGGATCGTTCTGCTCCAAATCCAATTCCTAATAGCTGCAGGGAGGGAGGGTGGGTGGGAGGAGAGAGAAGAAAAAACAGTCAAAGAAAGCAGAGAGGGAGAGTGGAGATATCACGTCTAACAATTAAGACCTGCCTTCGGGGTCTAAAGAAGAAGCTTTGTTGAGGACATATAAATTGCTCATTGAGCAGCGCCTCACTGCAGACTCCTTCAGATACTCCTGCCTCAAAGGAATATGCCATGAAAGACAACAGCAGCAGCAGCCGACCACATAGCAGGGCTGGAATCTGTTCACCGTATTTGGGGATCCATCACCAGCCCTCATCCTGGCCAAGCAAAAATCCCCCCTACAGTAAACACAACCCTGGATTTAATCCAGGTGACTAAGGAAACATCACCGCGCATCCACTGGAGATCCTTTGTAGTACCTCTGCTTTGCAGGGCCAAAGAAGCAGCTCACATAACGTTTACTTATTTTTGTCGTAGAGACAAAGTGGATGATCCTCGTGGTCCTCTGACTCAGGTTGTGGATGGCGCTACTGCCAGCTATAATGTTTAGAGTCAAAGGTTTATAAATAAAATAAAAGTCCACAGTTCATCTTGAAAGTATTGACAATTTGAAAAACATTTGCTTGAAATTGTTGCAAATGTATTTAAAAATTAAAAACAAAAATATATCATGTTTGTAGGTATAGTCTGAGTGCTCTGGAGCAGGATGTCTCTGTACATTCCTGCATTCATCTTTCCCTTGATCCCAGCTAGTGTCCCACTGCCAAAAACATCCCCCAGCACGATGCTGCCACCACCATGCTTCACTGTAGGGACAGTATTGGCCAGGTGATGAGCGGTACCTGGTTTCCTCCAGACGTGACACTTTGCATTCAGGCCAAGGAGCTCAATCATTGTTTAATCAGATTGGTGATTTTTTTTTTTTCCTCATGGTCTGAGAGTCCCTCAGGTGCCTTTTGACAAACTCCAGCTGGGCTGTCATGTGCCTTTTACTGAGCAGTGGCTTCAGTCTGGCCACTACCATGCAACCCTGATTGTTGGAGAGCTGCAGAAGTGCTTTTCCTTCTGGAAGGTTCTCCTCTCTCCCCAGAGCAACACTGTAGTTCTGTCAGACTGAAAACTGGGTGGTTGGTCACTTGCTTCAATAAGAAGGTAGACATTCCAAACTTCTTCCATTTACGGATGATGTGCTTCGATACAATCCTGTCTCGGAGGTCTACAGACCAGAGTTCTTTGGACTTCACGGTTTGGTGCTCTGACATACACTGTCAACTACAGCTGATGTAGGCAGGTGGCCTTTCCAAATCATGCCCAATAGACTGATTTACCACAGATGGGCTCCACTCAAGTTGTAGAAGCAGATGACGGATGATCACTGGAAACAAGATATACCCGAGTTAAATTTTAGTGTCATGGAAAAGGCTGTGAATACTTTTGTACATGTTTTTGTTTTATTTTTAATAAAGTTGATGAATTTCAAGCAAAGTTTTTCCACTTTGTCATTGTGGGATATTGTGTTTAGAACTTTGAAGTGAAAAATGAATGCAGTTTTGGAAGGATGCTGTACCTTGTTCTGGCGATACGTACAGCTAATGGAGCAGAGGTTAAAAATTCCTCCACACAAACCGTGGATGAACTGGGCTCCTGGATAAAGGAAGATATTTAGATTCAGATTCATTTCTGACATTTTCTTGAACTTGACTTTTTTATTTAATTTAATTTTTTTTAATTGCTTGATTTTGTGATGCAAAATGCCCAGTTTACTCCTATATCCCAGATATCTTTTGATTCTGGGATCTGTATCTGAATAAACAAGCATTTATCTGCTCCTCTATTCAAACCAAACCAATCACAGGCCACGATTTATCCACTTGCGTAAAGTGATGGATAAATGTGAGATAAATTAAGTTTCTCTTTACATTTTATCTGAAACATAAAGGCAACCTGAGCGAATACAAAATACAAATTTTAAATCGTATTTGCATTTAAAGAAGCTACGCGGTTATCCAATACGAGAATCATCAATCAAACCTGGCTGTGCTACCCACACCTCTGAAAACATCTGCAAACAGTGCCACGTCCAATATCTTGATGTGGTTCAGACGTCGCTGTGATGAAATTTTATCCAATTCTTCTTTCAGAAGTTCTTTACTGCAGCCTCATCAGAGGGTGAACTCCTCTTCTCAGGCACTTCCCCAGCATCTTAACAGGGTTCTGGTCCAGACTTTGAATATTTTTTTTTTTATTCTCTGCCAGTTTCCATTTTTATTTTTCATTCCGTTCACAGGTGGACTCACTCATATGCTTGAGAATGATTGTCATGCTGCAGTGGCACTTGAGCTTCAATTGACATACTGATGCTTTCCTCTCCAGACCTCTCTGTTAGAGAGTGGGATTCCTTCAATTATTGCCTGAACCCTGGAGCGGGAAAGCATCCCCACAACATTGTGCTGCTGCTTTTTGTGGAATATAACAGGACCCCGATGCCTGATATATATATGATTTGGATTTTTTCTTTACATTTAACAGATTTTTTTTTTTTACCTTACATGTGTGTTCTGTGCCTCTCAGAGGACATAAAAATAGTAAAACTGTAACTTTTGCCCTTAATGGTTTGTTAGCCTCCAGTGTCTTTCACACAGTGGAGTTGTGACTGCAAATATTTGAAAAGAGGTTAGATTTTTGTGACTTCCTGCATTCATTCTTAAATCCAGTTATTTTATACGAGTCATAGAAATGGTTATCTCAAAATAGAGACAGAAACCCACTGTTCCAACAATCATCTGTGAGAATAAACTGTGTGGGTGGGGAGGAAAATCTCCCTTTTGGCAAACCAAGTGCAACGAGGGCAGCCCAGTGCCACCACTGGATGGGAGAATGGGAAAAGAGAAGAAGGAAAAAAAGTATACAGAGATAACAAATGGAGCAAAAGGCAAATTATAGAGAGGAAACACAAAGTTAATGACGTCCAATAGTGTATAAATACATGGTTAGGGAAAGACAGTTGCTCATTGCACGATCAGAGGTCCCAGGCCAATGTGAAAGCTGGGAAATGCTTCAGGACATAGCCTGTACAGATGTAAAATTGCATGTTAATTTTTAAACATCAGTGTTAGCATTTTTTGTTTTGTTTGTTTGTTTTTCTTTTTTTTAAAGGCAGAAGTGATGATTGTCAGTAGTTCTAAGCCAGGGGTGTCAAACTCAAATACACAGTGGGCCAAAATTTAAAACTGGAACAAGGTCGCGGGCTAACGTTAATATTTATTGAAAAAAAGATCTTCCTCCAGATTTAAGAATGAATCTCTTCTTATGGACTCAAACAAGTTTTGCTGAAAAACTGAACATGGAACAAGCAAAGCTTAATACTAAACAATATATATATTAGCTGTATAATACCGGTAGGC